TTAGGGAGAGATGTTTACCTGTGGCACCAGTGGAAACTAGAGCCCTTGAAGTTAGAGCCAGATGCCCTCCAGCCAGAGAGAGTGGGTGTGCCCCACAAACTGACTTGTGGTATTTCCTATTTGGCCATGGAGAAGACATGAGACAGTGGGACAGGAAACCTACCTGTGTCCTGGCAACCCCAATACAAGAACTGAGGGAGAAAGGAAAAGGGAAGTTGGTGAGAGTGAGTGCAGTACCAGTTTCCTGTGAGCAAGGGTCTGCCCCACTGCAAGGTACCTCCCATATGTATTCACAAGACCAAGTAGAGGCACCAGGGAATGACTRTGTCTGCTGGACTGCGTGGATCCAATGGCTTGGCATGTCAGATCCACAAGAATACAAGGCTTCAGTTGATGCTGGCACTCAATGTATGTTAATACCATCAGGATATGTGGGGTCAGAAACAGTCTTCATTTCTGGGGTGACRGAATTCTCAAGAGCTGATGGTGTCAGAAGCTGAAGTGATTTTGACTGGGAAGGACTGGCAGAAGCACCCCATTGTAATTGGCCTGGATACCCCATGTATGCTGGGTATTGACTACCTTAGGAACCGATATTTCCAAGATGAAAGGGTACATCAATGGACTTTTGGAATCCCTGCTGTGGAGACAGAAGGGGTTAAGCAGCTAAATACRTTTCCTGGACTGTCAGAGAATCCTTCAGTGGTTGGACTTTTTGAAGGCAAAAAACCAGCATTACTGGCAGTACCAAATGAATCCAGATGCTGTGACCCCCATTAACAAGACGATCCATGAGCTGGAGGGCCAAGGAGTGTTCAGCAAGGCCCACTCAYCCTTCAACAACCCCATTTGGTCTGTGTGCAAGTCTGATGGAGAATGGTGATTGACAGTGKCTTGAATGAAGTTACACTGAGTGCTGCTGTGCTGGACATGCTGGAGCTTCAGTGTGAGCTGGAGTTCAAGGCAGCAAAGTGCCACTACTGGCAATTGCTAATGCATTTCTCTCAATTCCTCTGGCAGCAGAGTGCAGGCCACAGTTTGCCTTCACCTGGAGGGGTGTGCAGATTGCCCCAGGGGTAGAAACACAGTCCTGCCTCTCATGGACTGATCCAGGCTGTATTGGAGAAGAGTGAGGTTTCTGAACATCTTCAATATATGACATMATTGTGKGGGGGAATAAGSCAGCAGTAATTTTTCAGAAAGGAGAAAAGATTATCCAGATTTTCCTGAATGCTGGTTCCGTGATGAAAAAAAGCGAGGTCAAGGGATTTGCCCAAGAGATCCAGTTCCTGGGAGTGAAGTGCAAGACAGATCTCTCAGATTCCTGCTGAGGTCATCAGCAAGATCACAGGGATGTCTCCACCAACCAACAAGAAGGAAACACGAGCTTTCCTGTGTTCCATCGGTTTCTGGAGGATGCACATCCCAGAATACAGTCTGTTTGTGAACCCTCCCTACCTGGTAATTCACAAGAATGATTTCYGCTGAGGCCCTGAACAGCAACAAGCCTTTGCCCAGATCAGGCAGGAGACTACTCATGTGGTAGCYCTYGGCCCAGTCAGGACAGGACCAGAGGTGAAGAACGTGCTCTACTCTGCAGCTGGGAGCAATGGTCTKTCCYGGAGCCTTTGGCARAARGTGTCTGGTGAGACTTGWGGCCGKCCACTGGGATTCTGGAGCCGAAGCTACAGCGGGTCTGAASCCARCTACACCCCAACAGCGCAGGAGATCCTGGCAGCCTGAGAAGGAGTTCAGGCTGCCCTAGAGGTGATTGATGCAGAAGCACTCTCTTCTGGTACCCTGACTACCCATTCTAGGGTGGATGTTCAATGAAAGGTTCTGTCTATCCGTCATGCCACTGATGCTACATGGASTAAGTGTTTGTTTACACTGTGCCCCCGTATTGGAAACCTGAATCACCCCTGGGATCTTGAAAATAATTATGAATTGGCCTGAAGGTGAAGACTTTGTTCTGAGAGATGAAGAGGAGCAGTACAGTTGACTTGGGCTGAGGAAGCTCTGCCATACAACCAACTGCCGCAAGAAGAAACTCRCTATGCTCTTTCACTGATGGTTCYTGTTGCATTGTAGAAATGAACTGAAAATGGAAGGCAGCTATATGGAGCCCCACACAACAAGTTGCAGAAGCTATTAAAGGAGAAGGATTGGCCAGTTTGCACAACTCAAAGCTATACAGTTGGCCCTGGACATTGATGAATGAGAGAAGTGGCCAAAGATTTACCTCTGCACTGACTCTTGGATCATGGCAAATGCTTTGTGGGGGTGGCCATACAGGTGGAAAAAGGCCAACTGGCAGTCTAGAGGAGAACCAGTCTGGGCTGCTGAAGAATGACAAAACATTGCCACTTGGGTAGAGAAGCTGACTGAAAGTCCATCGTGTGGATGCTCAAGTGCCCAGGRGTTGGGCTAATGAGAAGCACCAAAATAATGAACAGATGGATCAGCCTCCAAAAATCAAAGTATCACAGATAGATTTGGGTTGGCAACAGGAGAGGGAGTTGTTCATAGCTCAATGGGTCCATGATACCTCTGGCCATCAGGGCAGAGATGCCACCTGTAAGTGAGCACAAGACYGAGGAGTGAATTTARCCATAGWCAGTATCTCCCAGGTTAGCCATGATTATAAGACGTGCTGTGATCAGGCAGGCCAAGCAGGTGAAGCCCCTGTGGTGTAGGGGAAGGTGGTCCAAATATAAGTAGAGAGAGGCCTGACAGGTTCATTATTTCACACTGCCTAAAATCCACCAAGGCAAACATTATATGCTCACAGTGGTAGAATGTTTTGCCAATCGACATGGGCAATGRAATGGACACWGACACCAATAGGAAGAATGGTCTTRTAATTTTTACTGTTAATACTGAGGCAAAACAGAGGTAAAAGGATACATTTGGTAAAACAAACTAATTACTTGCTTAGTTTTAGCAACAAGTGAAAATAAGCAAGGTAATGCATCTATTGGTTACTATATGAGAGAGAGAGAGAGAGAGATAGAGAGAGAGAGAGAGAGAGAGAGAGAGGGGGAGAGGGAGAGAATTGTGCATTATGCAGAGTCTGCAGTTTCTGTGGAGCCCTGTTTTGCAGTGAGGACCTGGAGAGTCCTTCCTGGCAATTAGGAAAATACTTCGTGGTCTGTCCACCTTACAGGTGGTGAGGTCTCCAGTTCATGCAAAAAAAAGGGTCCAGCTTTATAGCCCAAATTGACAAGTCCAAATGATTMATTTGCCTTTTTTGCAGAAAAYATCTGGTTCTGATGGCCTGCTTCCTGACCAGCTGGGACCAGGGCTCAGCCAGARCCCAGGCCATGGCTGGGAGGGTTTTGCCTGCATCATTCTACTAATGRGTCTCTAGGGATATCTGTAGGGAGGATTTCTTGATATATCTCACACAAAGTTATACAAACATCTATTCAACAGCCTGTTTGCCATTAAGAACAATTAATACAAATATTTTAATCATCTATTTTTAACCAAAGAACTTCGATGGTGTTAATAGCATCATGCTCAGCATTCATCTTGTAAGTCTATTCAGGCTTTGGCCTGCTGCTCAGGCCTTAGCATATTATAGAAGCAAACACTGGATGATTGGAGATATTCCCTGTGCATCATGCTACTGCCTGCAACACCATCTTGGGCCTTGAAAAATAAATCCTTTAGAGGTGTGGTACCCCTGAGAGAATTGAGTCAGACAATGGGACTCATTTCAAGAAACCAGCTAGAGAACATGGTATTGTGTACCACATCATGTACCACAGAGAGTGTACCACAGTGAATGTACGACATTCCTTACCATGCACCAGCTGCTGGGAAGTTGAGAGGTGCAGTGGGCTATTAAAAACAGCAGTGAAGGTGAAGGGAGGTAGGGCCTTCAAGTGGTGGGATCTGCCTTTAGCAAAGGCTACATAGTTAACATCAGAGGTTCCACTAACTAAGCTGGCCCTGTCCAGTCTGAACTCCTGCATACTACAGATCGAGATAAGGTTCTGGTGGTGCAAATGAGAGGTATATTATGAAGGACTGGATTAATTCTGCCTTGAGAAAAGACAAACCCATTTGTAGGGTTGTCTGTACTCAGGGACGTGGTTTCACTTGGTGGGTGATGCAGAATGAAGGGGAAACACGATGTATACCTCAATGGGACCTTGTTTTGAAGTGAACTATGACACTGTGTCTGTATCTGTATCTGCATTTATTTATGTATATAATTAAGATAATGCATGTTTTAAAAGTGTAAGTTCAATGTAACATGTTGATATGGGAAAAAAAAAAAAGTGGGGTGGTTAATGTTGGCAGTTAGGTTTTCTCAAAGGAATTGCATCCTGTTTGTTGTATTCCCGAGGCCACCGTTAMCCCCTGGGGAGGCTCTGGGCTCACACTGGAGCACCCCCTGGAGCCACGGGGGAGCCACTGCAGCCCTTCTGCCTCACCTGGGCCAGCAGCTCCCCCTGCCGGTTCTGGGCATAACTACACCAAAGGGGAGATTGCTTAACCGGGGGGAAAGCTTCTCGTTTGTTGTTTTATTTTGTTGTTTTTTCTTTCTTTCTTTTTTTTTTTTTTTTTTTTTTTTTTTTTTTTTTTTTTTTTTTTTTTTTTTTTTTTTTTTTTTTTTTTTTTTTTTTTTTTTTNATATATATATTTACTAGAAGAGAACTGTTGTTCCCTTTCCCAGATTTTTGCCTGGAAGTCCTGTATTTTTGAAGTTATAATAATTTGGAGGGAGAGGTCCACCTTTCCATTCCATGAAGGTTCCTGCCTTCCTTGGAGACACCTATCTTTTAAACCAGGACACTGGATAACAAGCATAATAGTCTGAATCTGTAATAATTCCCAGTCATTCCTCATAATTTATATTCAGATAGCAGGACTTTGTGTATATATAAAAGTATTTATTCTGTTTTTCCCCATATTGTTTCTCTTGGGACGTTGCTGTGACAGTTCAAGACCAGAGATGAAAYTGATTTTTCTTTTCCCATTATTTACAGTGGGGCTCCCGAAAAAACCTGCTGGCAGTGAACAATATCAGCTCTGTGGTGATTCTCAGTGAGGAGGCCATGTTGGCACATTTTCATCAGCAGGTGGCTGTGGTACAGGTGTCTCCCAACCTCTTCAATGTGACTATTTTCAGCACAGGAACCACTCACAGCCTTCGTGTTGATATGAATGCTAATGGAGTCTTTGCTACTAAGGTTAATTGTTTTGCTTTTTATTTTTCATTTATTTGCCTAATCAGTTGCCTAGTTAAATTAGTGGAGACCAAACTTTCTAAGTCTTTACGATAAGCCCTTTTTTAATATTCAACTTAGCGTGTTATAAAATTATTGTTGTGACAGCAGCAATGGTGCTGTGGTGGAGCTGTTTTTTTAAGCTAGCATAGGGACTCAGGAATTTTCTAGGGTGCTCACCAGTATCTGGAGAACTTTTGGGCTTCTAAAAGCCTTCAAACGCAATGTCCAGSGGGACTAGTAAATTATAGCTCTTGTAGGGGAGTTCTTGCTGTGTTATTGCATTAATTACTGCATGTTTCCAAAAAGAACTGAATGTAAGTATTCATTTGGTGGTTTATTTATTTGTTTGTTTGTTTTAGGATGCTGTAGTATTCTGGAATGGGAAGCAAGTGGCTGTCTTTGAGTGCACAGGAGATACCTTCAGAAGTGCAGGTAGGGCTTAAAACATTGGTCAGAGTTGGAATGCTTTTCTTCCAAAGTCATATATTCATTCATGGTAGCTGATGCACTGCAATCATAAAATCGCAGAACAGTTTGAGTTGGAAGGGACTTTAAAGTGCATCTTGTTCCAATCTCCCCTGCCATGGGCAGGGACACCTTCTTCTAGACTGGAAAAAAMCCCTCAGGGCTTGAGAAAAACTTTYRTGTGTAGCTAAATCACATCGTACATGGACTTGCACAAAACATGGTATGAGGCTAGAGCGATTTATTTTTATTTTTAATTGCACTGCTGATGTTGTCAAGAACAGCATTTTTTTCCTGTTTGGGTAGCTGTGGCTCCTGTTGCCGTTACGGRTAAGACATGGCAAAGGCTACTGAAGGTTTTTCCGCTTTGCTTGATAAAAAGTGTAATCAAGGTTACATAACACTTATATAGTATCTGAGAAGGAGGCTTTTTGTCCCAGCTCCCAAGAGAAGTTGTCCCATAAATTGCTGTAAACAGTGCCAAGCAGAGTAAATTTGCATTTTACATGATTTATTCTGCCTAAATATTTCTGCCTTGAGAAACAAGTAATGCAGAATTCCACGAATCCCATCCAAAATATTGAGATTTGTCTTTTAAGAAACATTAAGCGTTTTCTCCTTGTCTATGTTTACTGATATGTTTTATAACTTTTCCATGTTGAATCATTGCTTTAYTGCCACCAAGGTCGCAACAATCTACACCACTTTTGAAGTTGTTGCAGAGCCACTTTTCTGACAGAGAGATTTTATTATCCCTCTTCACTAGCATTTCAAGGAAGGAAGAAATGAATTGTCTTACCAGTACTTAGAACC